GGCAGCCATGGGGGAACACAGACAGCATTTGTTGGTTCCACAAAGTGTAATGGCACCAAACAGGGAACAGCGGCAAGAGGTCTCTGGCTAGTGTGCTACCACCTGTGTTTATGTGCTGCTAATTGGGGAACTTGCTGCAGGTGTGGGACCGGAAGGAACTGGGATGCTGCAGTGGCTACACAGCAACCCCAAGTGGCGGGGAGGACATAACCTACCGGTTACATTTTCAAAACGTCCACCACTCATGTGCTAAAGTACCTGTTGTGAAGAGTATCTGTGGTTAAAGTGTTGCAGCATTGAAAAAGCTAACGTCATTGTTGAATTGTTTAATCGTTTTTTTAAATAATTGAATATAAAAATTTTTTATATCTTAAATTTACGTTCTGAGTCTGTCTGAGTGCATTCAGACCTGCGTCCTTAACTAATTTCCTGGGGGCGATATTCCCCCAGGTGGCGTTGTCGTGTAGCACTAAAAAGTAACTTATTAATTCATTCTATTCCTTACTAAACCCCTCTCGCCACACAAAGCTGTGGCTGTGGTTGCCACAGTAACCCTCGAGACGAATGATCTAGGTGTAGGCCGTGTGCTGATATGACGGTGATGAATTCTGCCGGTGTCTCAGCGGTTCAGCTCTGGTGGAGTTTGCCAGGAGACTTTCTGTCTCAGGCACTGTTGATTTCTGGTAGACTTCTCTGCAGGCAGTCATAGTCAGATGTGTTATCTGCTGGCGTTTCTTGCGGGTTGATGCGAAATAAAATCTAAAGCACTTAACTTTGGCTGGATAGTTTAGAGAAGACTGGCATTGACCAGGTGACTCTTAAATCTGTCAAAAAGCTTCAAATGGGAAAGACATTGAAGACATTAAAGACATTGTCTTAAAGTTTACATGTTGCATTTCAACCATTCTATAGGATAGTTTGGGATTGACATATTACATAGAAACATCTCATGAGATACAGAACAGTTCGATATTTAATTATATATTCTTCATCAGATCTGTGTCTGTGAAGAGTGTTCTGCTGGTCACTACTTAGGATTGGAATGGTTGTAGTTTATGACTCTTGTCTAAAGAAAGACAGAAGAAGGGAGGTTGGTGTGTATGTGTGTGTGTGTATTCATGCACGGCACAGAGAGGCCAGGATTCACACCTTTGTGATAATTAGTCCTTTTGGTGTTACTTTTCTATATAAAAAACAAACAAATATCAATAGACAGTCTTGTTGTTACAAAATGGTTTGCCTTTTGTCCATTGGTTGATCCTGTGCAGCTGACCCTTTGACCCATGGTCAGGTTCTGTGTCTCTCTGACATGCTAACAGCATGGTCTGTTTGTGAGAGAAGGGTCCTTTGTCTCTGTTTTTCCTATCAATTTGATAGTTTGAAGAATAACAAAGTGCCAATTTTGGGTCCGTAACTCTGCATGTCCTTACAATGAACTTCTTTAATGGCTTGTGACTGATGCCAGGCCAGAAATGTACGCTACATGGAGCAGACCTTGACTGTACTCTGCAGACGGTTTCTGTTCTGGAGGCTGATGGAGTGGACAAGTAGACCCCGAAGGACGTGAGCTACCTGAGGAGGTACTGCCACTGTTGGCATTTCCCGAGGGTGTTCTCCGTGTTAGAGGCAAATTTCAGCAGGTTTTCAAAGATTGTGCCCAGGTACTTACGTATACTCAACTGTCTCCACAGGCTTCCCATGAATCGTGCTGGTGACTGCTGCAGCCAGTTCCCTCTGTTTGTTGGAGAATAGTCTTGCTTACGTTCAGTTCCAGGCATTATTGCACCACTCCACAAACACACAAGGAGCTGAGCTGTAGTGCTGTGAGGAGTGTGAAAGCAGGAACAGAAGAACTGTGTCATCAGCGTACTTGACCAGAAGAGAAGAAGAGAAGTCTGCAAACAGGAGTCTGCTTGTAATGTTCGGGAGTTCCAGATGCTTATGCATGGTGTTGCGTCGTCAACCCCTCTGCCTGCTCTGTATGCAAACTGGAGAGGGTCCATCTGTGAATTTGTTGCCATCATAATGTGGTTTTTGATGATCCCCTCCATTGCCCTCATTACAGAGGAGGTGAGAGCCACAGGCCATAGAGACTGAGGTCATTCAAGACCTTGATGGTGCCCTTTTTAGGAATGTGGGGGACACAGCTGGGGGACTATGCCATTGGCCAAGGAGCTCTGGAACAGGATCTAGAACATGCATTTTGGGTCCATAACTCCGCACTCTACAATAAACTTCTTTACTTCTTCTTTACTTGGGACTGATGCCAGATCGCTACAAAAGTAAGGTTTCAAGACTAAAAGCTCTTTAATTTGCCATGCCATGGTTTCACATATAACAAACACCTGCAACTATGAAGGTATTTTTGGTCCAAAACAACTTGTGAGACCTTTGACTGTGGAATTAGTGACTATTTTATACAATTTCTAACTCCACTGTCACAAACACTCAGTTGTTTTGTATAAAAATATCTTCATAGTCAGATTATTAATGATATACTAAAAGACAAATAACACATTGTAATTGTATCTTGTTGTACTGAAGCTTCTCTTCATAAAGATCAATAAAATCACAAATAAGACTTTGAATTTTTACAAAATGTTTATTTAAAATTTTAACCATTTTTTTTTTATACAAACAGTTCACAACATGCAGACTTAAATACAATCTGTAACTCCAGTTAATGTCAAATATTACTATATTGCATTTCACTTTAATATACATCTGAACTTCTTTGTATAAAAATTGTGTCCCCAAATAAAATACATTTGAACTGTATTCATAAAAACACCAAGGCACATGAAGAGAAGAATCTCCATTCAAACAACACGAGTCAGTCACTGACAGTGAGTTTGTCCCTTTTTACCCTTTGAGTTCTCAAGACACCAGCATCATGGCAGATATCATGATGTGTGAGTGTGCAACCTCCAGCCTCTGCAGCAACACAGATAGTCCCAGAGTATATTCATCTGAAGCTCCTCTAACATAGTCTCACATGACTACCTACATGTTCTGGACATAGAAAATATGTAAACTATGTTCAAACATTTAAGTATGAAAAACTAAATTTACTTTCACCAAGAATTTTCAAAGGCTCGATTTTGGTTTGATGTGTCTAGCTGTTGATCGTTGTGCTCGCAGGAAGTCCAAAAAACCTGTGTGTGTGTGCTAAATTAGACCATTAAGGAACAAGTGGTTGGTGTTTAGTAAGTATCACAGTGAGACAGAAACATTTATAACATTTCCTTATGAATGACTGCGTTTACATGGACCCAGAAAAATAATCTGGCCCCTGTATCTGATGACCGTTTCACTTTGTGCAGTAGCATGCAGGAGCCCTCTAAAGGACAGTGGCTCCTGTATGCACTGGTTGCAGCATGGAAAACACACAACAGACATCCTCTCCAGGACCTCCCTTGGAATAACTGCATCCACACATTTTACAAACACAGATTAAAAATCCTGAAATAAATCCAGGATAAAAATATTAGCCACAGTATCTACAACAAATGAGCAAAACAGGAAATAAATAAATAACACCCAGGCCTCTCTTTGACATTTTTGCTAACATGGTTTGGGCTCCAGTCATATCCAACTGATAAAACTGAGCTGACACTGGTGTTAGTGAAGCAGTGAGCCCCTTGCTTCAAAACTGAGAGGAAACAGGCCACACAGCAAGCTGCTCCCGTCACACCTGCTGCTGCTCACCCACTCTAACCTCATAATGGAGATCAACAGAAGAAGCTGTAGAGGGAATGGTAGTAATATGACAAGCTGAACTAATATCAAAACCTATTTACTAAACTTGAGTGGATCAAGTCCAGGTGATGTGGTTTTCCTCTGCTGGTGAAGAGGCATTCAGGGTACTCATGACCACACAGCTGTGTTCACATTATTGTAAAAACCTGCGAGTGCTTCTCCTCCATTACTGTGTATGTCATGACAGTCCATCCCTCATTTGCACCGTGCGCCATGCAAAGCTGCACTATGGCAAAGTATCTGTGCTGGCCTTTGACCTGAGCTTCACTGACCTTTGTGAGCCTGTAGCTCTTGTGTGTATTTGTATTTTGCAAATTTCACTCCCCACTCCCTCCAGGAATTTTGCTCAGAGCAAGAGCCCTGTTTCTCCAATAATGTCAACACAGCTTTGTCTTTTCAGGCTACAACCATCTCCAATGTAGTTACAAGGACAGCTTTGCCTCAAGGAAGGTTGAGCACAGCTGCTGCCGTCTTCTGTGCTGTCATTATCTTCCAGCTCCCTGTTGTTCTCCAGGAGAAAACACCCCTTCCTATCAGGGATAGTCCATTGCATGGAAAGACTTAAACATGTTGTAGTTTGATTGAGAAAGGAGAAAGAAGTCATTCGGAGCTGGTGAGGTGAACATCTGAGTTTCCTTCAGAATTTTATGGCCTGCATCCAGTCAAACATTAAATCTGCTCTGTCTTTGTAAACAAGCACCACGTAGGTTACTCTCATTTCACAGCAGCAGGACTCACTCTTTGCTAACACATGTACTAGACTGCGATGAGCCAATATACCTGGATTTAACAACTGTAATGCAAAATCCAATATTTCAATTAATTAAGCTCCTCTGATTTAATCAATTAGTGAGAAAGACTGCTCTAGATCCTCTTCTCAACATTAGATACTAAATCACTGCCACAGTTTCTCAAACAAAAATAAAGTAAATTACATTTGTAAAAGTAGATTTTCTCTGTGTGCTGATGTCAGTTTGATTAATTTCCGGTGCAGTTATTGCAGAAACATACATAGGTGCTGTATAGCAATTCACTGTGGAGTTGGCACATAACTTTTGGTTCTTTAACTTCTTGAACTCATGTTCATCTCAGCCAGTGATACGACATCTGCCTCCAGAGCCCACACCAACAAGAAATCTTTGTGTAACTGAAACCGCAGCGTGCAGTGGTTTTACTCATGAATAACCAATAATAAAAACTTGTGCTACTGGTTTCAGTAGTGAAATAAATGATAAACAATAAATGACAATAATACAGATTAAAATAAATTGTAGTAGAAAGCTATAACATTGACCTCTCAGTGCTTCTCTCACACAGTAGACTCATTTACTAGCAGTGTCTCTGTTGTAGGCAGGTGCTGTGTGTGTGTGTTTGTGTTTGTGTGTGGGTCATCAGTGTAGGTGTAAGTGTGGGTGTTGATGTAGTTGACAGAGTAACTCTTCCTCTGTTGGCTCCTGGATTTGCTCCCTGCAGAGAAACGATGGGACAGGCAGTGAGCTGTGGCTTCACAGCTTCAGAGATTTACAACAACAGCAGCATTAACCTACTTGAACATGAGCTGGACCGAGGTCTCATATCTGATCCTCTCCACATCTGTCACAGAGCAGCTGTGACTGCGGTCCCACCTGTAGATGAAGTTCTATTAGAGAACAAGGAACACAGACTTGGGTTAGTGTTACTCCTGTGTTTTAATTGCCATCAATTGATTAATTGTTGTAAACAAGAATTGCGTTTCCATGGTTACTTGTAGTTGGAGCGATGTTTGTAGTGTTTAAATAAATTAATTTATGCATGTGTTGTCTCAGTGAACTGACCTCTAGGATGAGCGCCACAAAAAGGTTGACCCACATGACAGAGGATGTGAGCCACCAACACACAAAGTAGATCTTAGCCCACCTGGGAAAAATACGATGTCCTTATCATCATCATCATCATCATCACCAGCATTGATACTTGTAAAATGTGTTTGTCTTACTCGGTGGTGTATCTGCTGTATGCATCCATGAAGGCCTGCCAGTTGTTGACTATCATGACATCATACAGCAAAATGATGGAGGCCTGATGGGGGGGTGGGGGGGTGGTAATATAATTGACAGTGATAGTCATTGTAGGGCATGCTAGTTAGAACTTTGTCCGACTTTCACTGGCGCTTTCACCATGTCACATGACATTAAAACCTTGTGCGAGCAAGATGTATTTATTGTAAGAACTTCAGATCCTCTTATGTTTATCTCTGACAAAGGGGATACATTTTATATGATCTCCTCCTTCTGGCAGCTCATTTTTTACATATACATTTTACAAACACTATAGTTTTCATTTCCAGCAGAAGTTTGTTACTGTAAAAGAAGTCATGTTATTGTAGGACATATTTTTACATTTGTTTTCTTTTCTTCCTCCTGGCAACATGGTGGCCCTTGTTTTTCATTCTCATCCATACAGGAATGTAATATACTGTATGACATCCCTGTGACATGTCCCTATATCAAGAGTGACGTTGCCATATATGTTACCTATAAGTGGATATATTATCACATATATACATCCTCTGGATATATTAAGATATAAGTGTATAAATATATGAAATACCCATAGTTTTTATTATTTGTATATGTACATATATTAAAAATATCTCTGATGATTTTTTATATGGTATAACATGTTGCATATAGGTTAAGGATATATATTCAATTTATATATGCAAGTTCATTAAAACAACATACATATATACATTTTATTTGCTTATGTTTTTTTTTTATTAATTTCTTTTTAATTTCAATGTCTATCTTCCCATTCTGAGAAAGTGGTCTATTGGACTCTATAGACATTGACATAGATTAATATAAACATATACTGACAGGCTTTGGCATGGATATATATGTATGTAACATATGTCTACCATATAATCATACATACATAAACCTAAACCTTACCATAAACCTTTATAGGCCTATATGGAATGTTCTAATTTCTAATAGGTTTTACATATACATACATATAGACTATATTTTTTATTTTATATGAATATATATTTCATATATGGAAATTCAATTGTATGTTCATATTATACATTTGCGTGTGGGCAAGTCTTTGGTTCTAAATAACATATAGAGAAATAGTTGTTTTTTCTTTCTAAGTGTTGTTCTAACAGGTATTCAATGTATGCCATTTACCCCACACACCTTTACCCATCGCCCTCTATGTTTTCATAAAACATTACTAAGATTCGATTTCATGTATCAAAAGTCTAATGTAAACTTTTGTCTGGTCTGAACATGTTTTAGAACAACATATGTTTGGGGGAGTAAACAGTGTGAATAGATTTTGTAAAACAGTCATGTTTGTTGCATAGTCACATATTGAGGGTAACCTGACACTCATAAAGTGTCTGCAACACAAATAACTGAACCAAACACAACAATGTTGTTACTCACGGCAAAATCATCAAAATTATTTGGCCAGTACTGGAGCTGTTCATATGTACCACATTCCATGGTGAGGTTAGAGGTGATGTTCTCCATGGAGGTGTTGGAAAGCACACTGGGACGGACGGACACACACACACACACACACACACACACACACACACACACACACACACACACACACACACACACACACACACACACACACAGTATACGCATATTAGCACACACACATAATCAGAGATCACTGAACCAGACACTAAATAACCCAGTTTGTCCCAGTGCTTTGAAGAGTACTCCATTCATTTAGCATCATGTTCCTTTGTGAATTTCCCCTGGGGGGATAGATAAAGTATCTATCTATCTATCTATCTATTTTTAACAGTGCTGGACTCATGATGGATAGTTAAAAAAAAGATAAAGATCAATGGAGCAGAACCAGTGATGTTGTTTTTTTTTTTATTACACTAAAACCCTCCAAAACGTTGCACTTACATTTTCCACAATGTAGCTCAACCCCTCAGTGTTTGGTGGGGGAATGGGGTTGATTCTGCTAGAAGGCGCTAATGTATCCTACGTTCATTCGTGAAACTTAGCTGATAAATGAAGAACCTACAACACTGTGTTGTTTCTAACTGGCCTCATCTCATCAGTCTGACACCAGCTGTCTGTGAAACTTTAACAAGCCTTAAACAGATGTTAACCTTTACCTTTTAATGAAAGCAAGTTTAATGACTGTTATAACTGATAAAAGATGTGAGTGAAATTTGTATTTTGGTGAAATGTATAAAACAAAACAAACTTTTATTTCACACTGAAACCCTGCTGAATCTGATCTGTACAGAGATGATGATCATGTTTTTCCTCACTTCATACCTGATCTCTGGAGGAGGTTTAATGGCTCCTTCAAACAGCCAGATTCCAAACACAGCAAACACATAGTACACCACCTGTTCAGAGAGCATCAAGAAAACACACACTGGCTCCTTATCGAGTAAACTATTGTCAGGTGAAAACCATCTATGTCCAGTAGGTAGAAAACAGAAGACTGGATAATACGTTTTCACAGAGAGTTTGAAAAGGTTCTAGGAGCCAGAGAAGGTAAATGGTGTCAATCAATCAAAGCGCATGGATTTATTCAACCTGTTACAGTTTTCACAGTGATAGGTATCATATGTTTAAAGCATATCAGCTGGTTGATTGAATGCTAATGTCACTTACCACCAGGATCCCTGCAAAGGCTCTGAGGTTTTTCACCAGGTCCAGCAGAGTGCTCGCAACCAGAGCCATGAGCTGGAGAACAAGACAATGAGAGACAAAATGGGATATGAGGGACACATACGTGAGTTCATGATGAGGCTGGAGAAGACTGTGTGTCTGAGCTGATGTAAACAGTGTAAACGTGTGATGTTGCCATGGAGTCCATGAATATTATAAAATAAATTCTGTTAAGTATATAATGAAGCAATAATTTGTGAAATACAGTTAGGCCCAGAAATATTTGGACAGTGACACAAGTTTTGTTATTTTAGCTGTTTACAAAAACATATTCAGGATACAATTATATAATCAATATGGGCTTAAAGTGCAGACTCTCAGCTGTAAGATGAGAGTATTCACATCCAAATTGGAGCAAGGGTTTAGGAATTACAGCTCTTTAATACATAGCCACCTCTTTTTCAAGGGACCAAAAGTAATTGGACAATTGACTCAGAACGCTGCATAAAAAAATAACAAGGCTGCATGGGCTCTTCCCTCATTAACCTGTCATCAATTAGGCAGTTAAAAGGTCTGGAGTTGATTCCAGGTGTGGCGTTTGCATTTGGAAGCTGTTGCTGTGAACACACAAGATGTGGTCAAAGGAGCTCTCAATGGAGGTGAAACAGACCATCCTGAGGCTGAAAAAAGAAGAAATCCATCAGAGAGATAGCAGAAATTTTAGGAGTAGCCAAATCAACAGTTTGGTACATTCTGAGAAAAAAAGAGTGCACTGGTGAGCTTGGGAACTCAAAAAGGCCTGGACGTCCACAGAAGACAACAGTGGTGGATGATCGCAGAATCCTTTTCATGGTGAAGAAAAACCCCTTCACAACATCCACTCAAGTGAAGAACACTCTCCAGGAAGTAGGTGTATCAGTATCTAAGTCTATCATAAAGAGAAGACTTCATGAGAGTAAATAAAAAGGATGCAAGGTGCAAACCATTAATCAGCCTCAAAAATAGAAAGGCCAGAATTGACTTTGCCAAAAAACACCTGGAGAAGCCAGCCCAGTTCTGGAACTGCATTCTTTGGACAGATGAGACTAAGATCAACCTGTACCAGAATGATGGGAAGAAGAAAGTTTGGAGAAGAATTGGAACAGCTCATGATCCAAAGCACACCACATCTTCTGTAAAACATGGTGGAGGCAGTGTGATGGCATGGGCATGCATGGCTTCCAATGGCACTGGGTCACTTGTGTTTATTGATGATGTGACAAAAGACAGAAGCAGCCGGATGAATTCTGAAGTGTATAGGGATATACTTTCTGCTCAGATTCAGCCAAATGCAGCAAAGTTGATTGGACGGCGCTTCACAGTACAGATGGACAATGATCCAAAACATACTGCAAAAGCAACCCAGGAGTTTTTTAAAGCAAAGAAGTGGAATATTCTGCAATGGCCGAGTCAATCACCAGATCTCAACCCAATTGAGCATGCATTTCACTTGCTCAAGACAAAACTTGCCACAAACAGGCAACAACTGAAGACAGCTGCAGTAAAGGCCTGGCAAAGCATCAGAAAGGAGGAAACCCAGCGTTTGGTGATGTCCATGGGTTCCAGACTTCAGGCAGTCATTGCCTGCAAAGGATTCTCAACAAAATATTGAAAAGTAACATTTTACTTAGGGTTATGTTTATTTGTCCAATTACTTTTGAGCCCCTGAAATGAGGAGCGTTTGTATAAAAATAGCTACAATTCCTACATGTTTAATCATATATTTTTGTTCAACCCCTTGAATTAATTATGTGGTGGCATGCAGAGCCCAAATCATGAAGATTGTGTCACTGTCCAAATATTTCTGGGCCTAACTGTAATTCATGAAATTATTATTAAATCTATTAATTATTTTGTAATTTTTAAAAATAATTTTCATAATACCTAAATTCTATATTCAGTTAATAACTGCATTCAATATTATTTTAATTTTTTAAAATTCCCTTTTGTCAAAAGTCTTGTTATGGTGTTTTTCTAAATGATACATTTATTTCATGACATTTTTCGTCAGTCATGTCGTCACCATCTTGATTTTCGAACAATCACATGACCCTCTGGTTCTCATGACAGCAAGCTCAACAGCTGCTTCACATTTAACAAGTTAGCTCCTGTTAGCCATAGTTTTAATAATTCCCTAAATGATTTCACAAATTACACATTTTTTTTTCCTGTAATTGATTTATTTCTTAATTATTTCATTCTAATATGTTTAACTATTTAACAATTTAATTACTTTGAGACTATAACGGCGCTTCAATCACTGGATCACTGTTGATAAATGAAGATTAGTTTAGATTATGACATGACCTGAAGTTATGATTTTATCCTTGGGGGGAATCAAGTTATGCCATAAGAACAGTGAATGTTATGTTCTACATGTCAGCTTTTTACTGGAAAGAATATATTCGAAGTGTAATCACCAACATTTTGATTAGTAACTGTTTGTGGTTAACTGTTGAGTTGATTTCAGAATTTCTGTTCTGGTGTGTACCTTGATGTCTGGGATGATTCGCAGGAAGCGGAAGACAATCAGCATGTTGACCAAGCGAACCATCTCCCACAGAGACATGACTCCATGAGAGGACGGGTCCCTAGAGAGTTAATTTTGATATTGATTCAAAATAAATAAATGATCAAGTGAGAGATACAAACTACAACTGAACATACAAACATTCATTTTAAAACTGTAAGAAATAAAAACCCACCAGTGAGAGTATGGAAGTCTGTATGTGGCATAAATAGTGATCTGCAGGGCCTAAAAGGGGAAAATAAAAACATGAGATCAATGTTGAAACCTAAAGTGATCAATGGTGACGGATCAATATTAACATGACATAAGAGATTTTAAAAATAATCAGTTAAATTATTAAATAATTCCATCATGGTTCTCTTTAATACTCGAATATAAACCTAAAAGCATGTTTGGTCCCATCAGCCCTGTGTTTGCTCCTGGTCTTCAGAGGTGTAGAATACACAACTAACCTCTGTTGACTTGACTGCTGTTGGGACTCACTACATTCATGGTGGTGGAGACCACGTTTCTTTGCTTCCAAAGAAAATAGAACTCACTTTCCCACTGTTCACACCTTGGGACAACCCTCCTCCAGGGACCTCACTGACCAGTCAGTGTTGGTCAGAGTGTGACATGTGACCCCCAGACTGTAACACTCTCCCTCACTCTGCTTTTCAACACAGAGTGCACAAGTTAACTTCAGTGCCAGTGGCTATGACACAAAGTCTGCCAGCTGATTTCCCAAGTAACAGGAGTCACAGCAGAGTTAGTGTGAAACAGCTAACTCTGTGAGAAGAACAAAGGAGAAAACAGTGGTCTCCTTGACAACGCAGAGACCACACAGCCAGACAGCACTTCACCAGGAAGCCACCCAACTCAACAACACTGGAAAGGACCTCTTTGCTTTTTTTCCCCCAAGGACTGGGTAACATTAACTGACTGGGTCTAACCGCACCTAACACAGAACAGCTAAGCAGCAGAACTCTTAACCTGTGTTAATGTACATGTTGGTTAATGTTTTGTTGTTGTAATATTTGCTTAGGTTGTGGTTAGTCACACAGTTAATTGAGTACTTGTATGTTCACACACATACCTGTAGTACATCTCAGTTCTAGAACCTGCATGCAGCTAACCTTCCCCCTCTAACCTGTTACCTTTAGACTATATGAGTTAGGCCAACAAAGAAACTCACAGCTTCCCTCCCACACACACAGGTGGCCTCAGCAGCCATTTCAAGTTTCTTTGTTTACCACTATCTTGTGTAGTCTTCTTTGTTCAGGCCATGTGGTCACAGCGACCATTTTGAATCAGCCATCTTGCCCCCATAACCCCCCCCTGCCACACCCACAAACACACAGCCCCTTACCCTATCCTCAACCATCACAACCAATGGCAACACAAACCACAACAACACAACTATTGGTGTGTTGCACAATGGTGGGTATTGCCAACATCTACTCAGTAGAATTCCAATCCTTCAAATACAACTTACTATTGAAATGGCAATTTGGATATAGTTATTAAGTTAATTATTAATCAGAGTCCCCTATGAATATTAATACTGAATCTGAAACTGAATTAACATTGGCTATCCTCGCTTTTTTTAGGCTGGTGCCCCCGAGGACTTTAATTAATTTTAAAGTTATCATTTAATATTAATTTTTTTTAATACTAGTATGTAGATAGCCAATAAATTGATAAACAACCGAAGGTCCAACATATGGTGTCCCACTCATGAGACAGAGCATAGACCCAACACTGCTCCTGTTGTTTTTCTGCATGTGTTTGAGGCAGATTATGTCACATTTGCACCTGAAAAATTGGCACCAGAGCTGTTATAAACATGGACATATAATACTTGATGTATACACATACATCAAGACAGAGTCGAAACCAAAATGTACCACAGTAGACTGTTCACTGTGATGAAAAAGAGTATTAGAAAAAGTACAGATAATAGTACTGTTACAGTACTGAATCCATAAGCAGTATCAGTGAAAGTAGTAGTAACATTAAAATCTTGATGATACACATCCCCATTTCAGGGTGAACTCACAGTTTGTGTCATTTTGTTTGCACAGAGGAGACATGATACATTTAGAGAGGACACACAACTGGTGACAGTCAGCACAGATACAAGTTTCACATGAAGCAGAAGGAACTATACAAAGTGTCAAAAGAGCCTCAGTGTATCAGCTTTGTGAAAATACACAAACCAGTAACAACAGGCAACTGAAACAATTTTTAAAAAGTATAATATCAATACACTACGTATTACTTTGTAACAGAAAACAGACACAGGAAGTTTTTTTTTTAATAAAAGTAAACAAAACTTAACCGTAGTGAACTTTGTAAATTACATCTGCAGCACCACATGATGTCATGTCAGCCAAATAATTTTACAACATGAAAACTTCACAGTTCAGAAGTATCACTACTTTGTTAATGTTTTGAGAAGAATCCTGACCAGACCAAGACCAAACATTTTCTTTCACCAGATTCAGATTATTGTCTGGATCAGATCTCAACACCATAAACATGTCTGAATTTTTACATCAAGATCCAAACATGATCTTGCAAAGAGAGTTCTCTGGCGCTTCATTCAAAATTCTGCAGCTCAGGTATGAACTAGAACCAGTTTTAGCTTCCTGGTACATCTAGAATTGATTTTAAGGTCAACCTCCTTATATACAAAGCACCAAGTTGAACTTCTAGCTCCCCAATTAACTATAGACCTCCAAGAACACTGAGATCGTCTTCTGCTGCTTTATTGAAGGTTGGGTGACAGGGCTCAGGAGTGGTGGAATAAAACACATATTTAAGTTCTTCTAAATATGGCCTTTAGTATATATTATACTAAATATTAAAATGATAAGAGTGGGTGGGCAGAGCAACATTACCAAGAGCAGGATGGTGAGGAAGCCGTCAAAGATGTTGTTCCTGTAGGAGAGATACCCTCTCCAGCCAAAGGCAAAGATCTTCACACACATTTCAAACAGGTAGAAGAGGATGAAGCACAGGTTGATGATCTGACAGGTGGACAGGGGAAGAGCGAAATCAGTCACCACACTGATCAGGACCATGGACCTCCAGAAGACTCCAGAGGACCTCTAAAGTGTCAGCTCACCTCTAAGATGTAGTTATCTCGCTCTGCTGTGGACTTCTCAGAGTTCAACACCAGGATGGTCTGAAACACACACAGGTTACCTTACAATATGCTACCAGCTTGGTCAGTGTGTGTTTGTGTACTTCTATTTTTGTGAGGACCAGTTTGAGTTTTAGACTGGTGAGTTCAAAGGCTGTTTGGTGGTTAAGACTTGGTTTTATGGTTCACATTAGAATTAAGTGAAGGTCAGTGTGTGTGTGTATGTGTGAGAGTGCAACTTACACATATGCAGATGACATTGGCCAGTGCAACTGCGTTGCCAAATATAGTGAGATAGTAGTGACTGAAGATCACCTGAAGTCTCTGCAGGATCAGAGAGTTGTACTGAGGCAAGGGAGGGTGCTGGGAGGAACACACACACACACACACACACACACACACACACACACAGAGTCAGAGACAGAAGTCTAAATAAATTACCACCTCACAGTTATGTTTTGGATAACAGACAGAAGTTGACCTTTGACCCTTTAGATAGATATAAAATGAAGACATCTCAATGTTGGGTGAATGGGGCACCGATCTACCTCCTTGATGCGGTCTTTATCCAGTTCTTCAAATATCTTCCTGAACTGCTCTCGATCCATGAAGCCGAGGTCTGCAAACCTCTGAGCCTCCTGACAGGATGGAGAGCAGAAGAGTCAAGTCAAGAGGAAAGTTTTAAGAACCAGAGGATGTGTTGTTTCTGGCATCATGTATTTCAGTATGAAACACATCATGTTAAAATTCAAAGTTCACAAATTTTTAAGGAGCATATGGAGGAGTAACACGTTACTAATAACATTAAGATCTGCTCCATTAAAGTGTCCCAGTGAGCTGCGAGAGTGGATGTTAGTTCTATTATTAATACCTGTATGTGTGCAGTGTGAGTTTGTGTGAAAGTATGTGTGTGAAGATGTGACTGTGTCTGAGTGTGTGTGTTGGTTCTGACTGTAGTGATGGCTGCTCTGTAGTAGCTCTTCATCTGGACTCTGGACATCACCTCCAGCACGGCATCAACACGCACACGCTCCCTGACAAAGAGAACAAGACCACTAAGGACCAGGGGTTTAGGGTTCAGGTGAGGGTTGTGGTTTGTGTTGTCATTGGTTGTGATGGTTGAGGATAGGGTAAGGGGCTGTGTGTGTGTGTGTGTGTGTGTGTGTGTGAGTGAGTGCGTGCGTGCGTGGGGGAGTATGTCTTACTCAGTGGCCCGTTGGGCTCCTTGGCAGCTGAGGACTTGGAAAGCAGCTCTGATACCCAGTCGTCTCCTGATGATGGAAGTCTGGACAGACATCTGGATGAAGACACAAGCAGAAAGACTTTGATGTCCTGAATATGACAAGTTTTTATCTCCTCTGTCTCCTGGGCTCAGGGTTGATTGTAAAGATTTTCTGAAGGTGAAAACACAGAGGTTAGGAGCACACACCTAAAAATCACTGTCGGTGTTTATTACTCATCAAAGTTACTGAATTCACAAAGCAAGCGAGCAAGGCATTGAACCTTCAACCTGTTTGAATGAAACTGATAAATATTTTGGGAAACACTCATTCACTTCCTTTCCAAGGGAAAAGACAGATACAAACAGAGGAACCAGCCTGGCTCTGTCCAAAGTACAAAACACACCAACCAACACCTTTAAAACTCACTGGTGAATAAATGTGAGTGTTTTTTTAACCTGTACATAAACAAAATCCCAAAATGACACATTGTAGTTTTACTGCTGTAACAGATGTTACTATGACAACACATTTTCCCAGGCTCTTGTCGCCATAGTAGGGTTGCCCAATTTGTTTCCTGGACAGACACTGGAACTGAAATCTGTGCACTAAAGCCGTAGCTGCTGCACAGAAGTACTAATCACTGCAGTTCACTCCCCTGAGAAAGATGTGTTGTTTTTACATTTCTCCTAATTCTGCAGATTCTGTGTTACAGTAATTAGTGAGTTGCTGGTTCATGTAGTATTGAACTTGTTGAACTTTTAGCAGTGTTCTTCTCTTGCTTCAAGTCTTTGTTTCCAGCAAGGTTCAGTTCAGTTCTGAGAGCTTCAATCCAGTCTGTGGATTTCTGTTTTTAACTTCATCTCACTCTCACAGATGAAGCATATTCTCCACAAATCCTGAATGTTTAACATTATTTGTGTGACTTGTGATTCATGTCTCTAATTGGATATACATTAGGAAGTCAGATCATGATGAAATACAAATTGAAATTGAATCCTATAAACTTTGTCAGTTCATGTTATAATCCAGTTAGACTCCTCCTCCAGCAGATGGCAGTCACATCTCACATCCTGTTCCACACACCCTTTCAGGTGAAGTGATGGCCTGTGAGTCATATCACACCCACTGCAAAGCGAAACACAAGTGTCTTTCCTAGTTTCAGACCAACACAGTTTCAGCCATAATTCCATTTTCCACAAGATGTGGGTGTTGTGTTGAAGTCTTTTCCAACGTCAGATAGCGTTTCCTCTGTAGAGAAATGTTCTTTGTGACTACCTGGCAAATCTGTTGTTATAATAGCAATCCACCTAGGTGCAGGCTCACCTGTCTCTTAAAGGGAACAGGAGATGGCACTCTGACTGGTTTATTGTATGTAAAACAGTCATGATTAATTAAGAGACTAATCGAGACTTTCCCTCTCTACGCTGACATAAAGTCAGCATAGAGAGGGAAAGTCTGAAGTCACGGTCACAGGGCAACACTGTTGGCTGTCATCTACTGCAAGTAGCTGAGCTATCTATCTATTTATTTATCTTAAGGTGGAGGATTAAAGGGTGACCTGAAGAAGCATTTTTTCTATCCAGTCATGTGACTCTCTTCTTACTCTATTCTATGTATTGTATGTACGAGGAGAGTTTGCATCATGTGGATATGTTGGATCCAGCAGTGACATTTCTAAATGTCAGCATATGTATCTTTGAACATGAGGATTTAGATTTAGTTAATTGACTGTTGTGCTCCTTTAAATGGCAGGTTCCTCCTTCTTGTTTTCTCTCCCTGGTGTGTCCTGCCTCAGCCCCAACAGCTCCAGCTTCTTCAGCCTCTGCTGCCACTAACATGTCACTACCCTTCAGTCTGAGTGGAAATAAAACTGCTTGAAACCAGCTTTGTCTTGCTGCCTTTTTCTACCTACCTCTAAAATTAGTTACGGGGCGTATTCTGTGGCATATGAAAACACTATCACCTGACTACCTTTCACCGCCAAGGGTTTTCCCTATTCCCCATGCACATTAATTGAGATTAAGGGCTCAGCTCTAACCCTATTATGCTCCTACCTCTCAAACAGAACCTTTTCGTTCTTTAATAACTCAATCTCCCTTCAACGGCTGAGTTAAAATGGGGTGTTCCTCAAGGTTTCTGTTCTTGGCCCCCTTCTATTTTCAATTTACATGCTTCCACTTGGCAAGATTATGATGAATCACTATGTGTCTTATCATTTCTATACTCCTACGGCCTGCCTTTCAGACATTAAATCCTGGATGTCCCAAAATTCTTTCAAAATCAACAATGATGCAACTGAAGAAAAAATTCTGTTTGGTCCCCCACATTCCATATGTTTCCTCAGTGCAAATCTTGGAGACCTGTCCAATTATATTAAGCCACCTGCTAGGACTCTAGGATTAAAATTTGTTGCCAACCTAGGTTTTGACAACCAAGTCAAACATGTGGTTCAGTTTTGTTTTGACCAGCTCAGGATCATTTCTAAAATCTGATCACTTTCATCACTGACCTACAGAAAGTTGAACATGCTTTTATTTATTCTTGGCTTGATAATTATAATGCACTTTATTCAAGTATCAGCCAGGTTTTCATCCACCGGCTTCAGTACAAAATGTTGCTGCTTGACAAGGAATGTGCCCAACCCAGAAATCTGAGATCTGCGGGTGCACACCTGCTAGTCACCCCAAGGTCATGGTTTGTGACTAAAGGTGACCGGGCATTTGCTATTAGAGCTGCGACACTCTGGAGCTCTCTCCTGACTGAAATCAGACACTGTGACTCTTTAACTTCCAACAAATTTCTTCTTAAAACACATTTGTTTGTCTCAACCTTTGGTGTGCTTGAAGCATTCATTCAAATGATGCGCTGACAACAAATGGCAGCAAAGCCGCATAGCTAGTAGTTTTTTGCAATTGTAACCAGTGCGCAGGTTATGTTATGACTAGATTAATCAGAAGACAGGTTTGCTTCTTGGAGGTAATGGTACAATAAATACACACAAACAGCACTTCAAATGCGGCTGGTACCATATATTAGCATGTGACAATATATACAGTGAACCCCAATATTTACAGTCTGCAGATTAAATTAACTGGATAATAAAGTGCACTCACAATTCTGATGCATCATCAACATTCAAAATCAAGCAAAACGCACAGTCCCAGGTTGAACTAATATGGCAATAGTTCCACAGTCCACACACACAATATTAAGTAATGCTGAAGCACCGCGCATGGAGAATGAGAGGCACTGAACTTGTCCAGCGTGTGCGCCGCAATTGAGTCTAAGTTGTTTTTTCCAGTGACTAAAAGCCTTAAAGTGCGTGTGTGTGTGTGTGTGTGTGTGTGTGTGTGTGTAAAAGAAAAGGTGAGGGGTGGGAACAAGGCTGCCAGAGCCTCCTACCAGACCAGGAGAGGCTCTTTTACTGGGATTGCTCAGCTCGCTCCAAGCCAGTGTCTTAGCTCGCCATCGTTTCGACTCTGTCCTCACAGGAACCCTGGCCTGTGTAATATAAACAGGACCATATTTCTAATTAAGAAAGCAGTGGAAAAGGGCAACAGAGGAAGAGAGGGGGGGAATCGACGTGTTGCAAGAAGATTTGAGAGGCAGGCTAGCAGTACTTAGAAGGGCTGAATATCTTAGGAAAAAGAGAAAGAAGAAAGAATATGTAAGGACAGCGTTTTACAGGGACCCCTTCAAGTTTGTTAAAGGATTGTTTAACCAGGAAAAGGGAGGGCAGCTTAAAGCAACAAAGTTAGAAGTGCAAAAGTATTTAAGAAACACGTATTCAGACTTGGAGCAGAATAAAGTAGTAGGCCTCCCACCTGACATGCCACCATTAGGACAGATAGTTCATGAGATGGATGTTAGACCACCCAGGTGGAAGGAGGTTGAGGAGGTAGTCAGGCGTGCAAAGGCTTCTTCGGCCCCAGGGCCAAATGGAGTCCCCTACCGGGTTTATAAAAGCGCACCTGATATCCTAAAGTTTTTGTGGAGGCAATTAAGAATAGTTTGGGAGAAACAGGTTATTCCTAGAGCATGGCGTAGGGCAGGAGGTGTTTTTATTCCTAAGGAGAAGGAATCCTCAGACCTGAGTCAGTTTCGCATGATCTCGCTACTTAATGTGGAGGGGAAGATCTTCTTTAGCATAGTCGCACGGAGATTAGCTAGTTATTTAGAAAGGAATAGCCTAATAGATACTGCAGTACAGAAGGCAGGAATACCAGGTTTCGCAGGGTGTATAGAGCACACTAGCATGATTTGGCATCAGATTCAGGCAGCCAAGACAGAGAAAAGAGACTTGCATGTCATATTTTTGGATCTAGCAAATGCGTTTGGTTCAGTGCCACATAGCCTTATTTGGGAGGCGTTTGATTATTTTAGAGTGCCTGGAGTAGTGGTTAATTTAGTAAGGTCGTATTTCCAAGACATTAAACTATGCGTAAGTACAGCAGGCTTTACGACAGGGTGGCAGAGGCTAGAAATAGGCATTATGGCAGGGTGCACGATTTCTCCATTGGCATTCACAATGGCGATGGAGGTAATCATTAGGGCTTCTAAGTGGGTTGTAGGTGGAGAGAGGCGGCAGGATGGGATGCGCCTTACACCAATTAGGGCCTACATGGATGACATGACGTTGATAACTACAACGGTGCCATGTATGAAAAGAGTACTTGAGAGACTTAATAAAAACTTAAAGTGGGCTAGTATGAAAATTAAGCCTAGTAAGTCTAGAAGTATCTCATTAAGTAGAGGGAAGCTAAGTGATAGGAAGTTTGTAATAGACGAAGAGGAAATTCCAATAATTAGGGAAAAATCAGTAAAGAGTCTAGGTAGGTGGTACAAGGCAGACTTGAAGGACGGAGAACAGGTAGTGCAGTTTCGGAAAGATGTTGCCGAGGGACTGGATAGAATAGATAAATCAGGGCTTCCAGGAAAATTGAAGTTGTGGTGTTTGCAGTTCGGATTATTTCCCAGACTGATGTGGCCAATGTCTGTTTATGAGATTCCATTATCTGCTGCAGAAAAAATGGAAAGATTAGTTAGCTTTTACATTAGGAAGTGGCTAGGTGTT